TTATGTCTGTGTGCACGCACGTGAGTGCAAATAAAATGAAATAAAAATAACTTTAAAAAAAATCTCATTTGCTGGGCGTGGTGGCACAGGCATTTAGTCCACGCACTTGGGAGGCAGAGGCAGGCAGATCTCTATGAGTTCAACACCAGCCTGGTCTACATAGTGAGTTCCAGGCCAACTGGGGCTACAGGGAGACCTGTCTCAAAGAGATTAAAAAAAAAAAAAGAAAAAAGAAAAAAAAGTCTCACTTAGGGGTTGGAGAAACAGCTCAGAAGTTAAGAGCACTGATTGCTCCAGGTTCGATTCCCAGCACCCACATGGTAACTAACAACTGTCCGTTAACTCCAATTACAGGGGAATCCAACACCCTCTTCTGACTTCTGCAGGCATCATTGCACAACATACATGCAGGCAATATACTCATATACATAAAAAATTTAAAAAAAAAATATATATATTCGTATTTTTGAGACAGGGTCTCCTTGTAGCCCTAGCTGGCCTGGCACTTGCTATGTAGACCTGGCTGGCCTTGAACTCACAGAGATCCTCCTGCCCCTGCCTCCCAAGTGCCAGGATTAAAGGTGTGCACTACCACACCCAGCAACAAAATATATATATTTTTTAAAGTCTCAAACTGCCCAGACTTGCCTCAAATTTCAGTTTTCCTGCCTCAGCCTCCTGAGTAGCTGGGATTACAGGTGGGGACCACCATGATGCCAAGGTCAGTTACAGAGAATCTCCTTCCTTTCCCTCTCTCTATTAATACTAAGGATCTAACTCAAGGCCTTGGGGATGCTAGATAAGCACTGAGCTACATCTCCATTCCTTGAGAATGTCTTTTAAGCAGCCAGGGAGGGATGGGAAGTTAACAGTGCAACGGGTACTGGCTCCTCATTAGAAGCCTCAGGCCAAAGGCCAAAGGTCATCTTCAAAGTACTAGATAGACCATAGTGGCAATCTGGAATCATACAGCACCCAAAAATGTCTTTTGAGGCCTGGCGTGGTGGTACACACCTTTAATCCCAGCACTTGGGAGGCAGAGGCAGGCAGATCTCTGTGAGTTCAAGACCAGCCCGGTCTACATGGTGAGTTCCAGGACAGCAGGGGCTATAGGGAGACCCTGTCTCAAAAAGACCAGGAAAAAAAAAAAAAAAAAAGTCTTTTGAAAAATAAAGGTGGACTAAAGAGACTTACAGATAGCAAAGGCTCAGCGACTCAGACCTACAGGTCTAGAAGGGCCCTCTTTCCTCTATGTTCTTCCAGCTCACAGGTCCTGTCTCCCGCTGCCTCAGAACACTGCTTAGCAATCCAGGGACTAAGTCTCTGCTGTGCTTCTGGGCTTAGCTCTCTGGACTTGGAATTTCTGTATGGTTCTTACGATCTGAGTACCACCAAGAGACAAGTTTAAATGCTAACAGCTCTTCAGGCTGAAGAGAAGCTGGAAGATTGAACAGTGCTGACTTGTGGCCTAATGGTATTGCAGCATGCTGAAATCAATATCCCATTATCAAATACAACAATGCTCACTAAGACAGAGCAGAAATGAATCTCTTTTAAAAATTTTATTATTATTATTTTGGTCTTTTTGAGACAGGGTCTCCCTGGATTCCCTTGGAACTCACTATGTAGACCAGGCTGGCTTAGAACTCCCAGGGATCTGCTTGGCTCTGCCTCTCAAGTGCTGGGATTAAAGGTATGCACAACCGGGCCTGGAGAGATGGCTCAGAGGTTAAGAACACTGGCTGTTCTTGCAGAAGACCCGGGTTCGAATCCCAGCACCCACATGGCAGCTAACAACTGTCCATAACTCCAGTTTAAGGGGATCCAACAGCCTCTTCTGTCTTCCTTGGGAATTGCACGACACGGGTGCACTTAGCTACATGCAGGCAATATACGCATACACATAAAATAAAAATAATAGGTAAAATATAAAAAAAAAAGGCATGCACCATGCCCAGCTTATTTTATTATATCTATTTTATGTATATGAATGTATTGCCTGCATGTAGGTAGGTGCACCCATATTGTGCAGTGCCTGTGGAGAACAGAAGAGGGTGTCAGATCCCCTGAAACAGGAGTTACAGATGGTTGCTAGCCACCATGTGGGTGCTGGGAATCCTCTGCAAGAGCAGCTAGTGCTCTTAATCACTGAGCCATCTCTCCAGCCCCACAAGATGAATCTTAATAAGCTTAAAAGCATAGTAGACTAAGCTGGTACAGTCCTGTAAAACACACACTGAGGGGGCTGAAGCACAAGGGTCACAGGTTTGAGGCTAGTCTTGTCTACAAAGGAAGATCTCGCTTAAAAACAAAACAAGCTGGGCTTGGTAGTACATGCCTGTGATTCCAGCACTTGGGAGGTGGGAGGAGGAGGAACCCAAGTTTGAGGTCAGCTTCATTTATATAGCAAGTTTAAGGCCAGTCTGGGCTACATGAGACTGAAACCCAAACCAAGGCTGGACATGGTTGCATATGTCCAGTGCATATCCCAGCACTTGGGAGGCAGAGGCAGGTGGATCTCTGAGTTCAAGGCCAGCCTGGTCTATATAGTGAGTTCTGGGCCATCTGGGGCTACAGGGAGACCCTGTCTCAACACCAAGTTGCATACTTCTAGTAAACAATGGCAGATTAAACATTCTTGTTCCAAAAAGGGATAGGAAGGAAAGACTGGTCCAAAACATGACTAAAATGCAGTAGGTCAAACAGAAAGCCCTGCAGCTCCATGTCAGTATCTAAGACTCATAGTGGCATCATCTGGGCTCCAGTGGGCTTGGAGCCCCATCCCTGAGCTGTTGGGCTGGCTCCTTTCAGTGCCTGCAGCTTTCTTCTACAGATATCCCATGTTCCCACATTCCTTGCATCTCCAACATCCTGGAGTTTCCACTGCAACTTAGGTTTTACCTTCACAGCCCCACACACAGCTTCTCAGGAGCTACATGTAAGGAATCCAGCCCTGCTTCCTACCGCCTGGTTCCAAAGGTTTTCTGTAACCTTGGTGCAAGCCTCTACGGCCTTTCCGATCTTGCATTTCTGTGTACAAAACCAGCACTATGTGGACAACAGCGTTAAGTTTTGCTGCCAATTCAAGATGTAGCCTGGCCCTCTTTTAGCACAGCTGCAGGGGCCTCCAACTGCCTGGGTGGCTACCTGGGAAAATCTTTCTCTAGGAGTAGGGAACTCTCTAGATTTCTTGGTTCAGGCCCTCTTCTTCCAAATATACTTGCACTTTTAAACCTGAGAGTCTACACTGTGGGTCTGGCCTCAAAGCACCTTTCTCATTGCCCTAGTGCAGATGGAAAGATTTCTCTTTAATTCTATCTACTAACCTACTGATCTCTTTTGCAAACACTACCTCTTTGCCTCAGCCTCAAGTTCACAGGAAATGCTCATTTCCTGGCCAAACTGCATAACTTTTCACATCTTTCAGCACTTTCTGCTCAAAATCCCCATTGCAAACCTTGCTAAAGGCACTGAGCATCAACATGCCCCAGGATGAATGCTGTCTTGAAATTTCCTCCACCAAGCAAATTAGTCCATTACTCCTGAATTTAGCTTGACTCAAATTTTCAGAGCACAGGCAGAACACAAGCAGATTCTTTGCCTGTCACATGAACGCTGCTAGCCTAACTTCTAAAGAGTCCTTGTTTCCCTCTGAAACCTCACTTGCAATCTTTACTGTTTGCATTTCTTTTTTTTCTTTTTTTTTTTTTTTTTTTTTTTTGAGACAGGGTCTCCTTGTAGCCCCAGCTGTCCTGGAACTCACTATGTAAACCAGGCTGGCCTCGAACTCACAAAGATCCTCCTGCCTCTGCCTCCCAAGTGCTGGGATTAAAGGCGTGTGCCACCACACCCAGCTACTGTTTGCATTTCTATTAGAATTCCAGTCTTTCACACTCTCATCAGAATCACCCACAAAGTTTTACATTCAGCCTTAAAGTGCATCTCTAGCCCACAGCTCCAAGCTTTTCCAGTGCCTCCAATAAACCAGTCCCAAAAGCCAATAACCACATGGTCAGGTTTATCACAGCAATAACCTGAGTTCTCAGGAATCTAATTAGTGAGTGTTCTAATCACCATGATAAAACATGGTTTAAGAAGGTAGTGCATCATGGTGGGGAAAACATGACAGAGTTCATGGTGGCTCATGACTATGTCAGCAGAGGATGAGGCTCCTTGTTTACATGTTCATGAATCAGGAAATAGAGAGCTAAGAAGTTTCTTATGTAGATGTGATGGAAAACAATTAACGTGGCTTAAGCCTATACTTAATTGTGTCTAACAAAGCTGGTGTGGAAAGCCCGCCTCTGTTCCACTGTCCTCCAAGCTTTTCCTGAGTGGGTTTACATCACTGGGTGGCTTTGAGATCAGACCTCCTGTTCAGGTCACGCTGACTCTGGTCATTATCTTTGCCCCCAACCCTGGATCCTATAGTACCTGGAAAGTTTTTATCTCAGTTACCTAAGACTTGGACACAAAGAAGCCAAAGAGGGGTATGGGAAAGTGATGCTGGAAATGTGCCAGGCCCTGGTGGCAGAGGAAGCTACAGGAAAATAGGGTGGTCACATGGTGCCGTGACCCTCCGTGACCCAGACAGTCTCACTTCCACAGGAGGCAGCCATTGCAAAAGCAGAGAGTAAGCAGCACATGTCCACATCTAGGAGTCTACGCCAGCCCACACCAAATGACGCTTCTCCAAAGTAAAATTATGAGACATGTTTCACAACATAGAGGTAACCTGAAGGTTGGAACATCTGTGAGTGGCATGTGTTTAAAAAATGTCTCCTCTCTTGAAATAGGCCAATCTTCCATATAATCTGCCACCCCTCTTTACAAGGGCGGCCTCATTTGTGGCAATTTGACAGATCTCCCTTCCCAAGTGGAGCAGTGGGGCAGTGGGCCTCATGGGCCAGCACGGCAATCACATACTGTCCAGGAGGACACCATAGGGGACTGTCCATAGGAGGACAGTGGGTACAGCCCCAGGTCTGTGCTCATATTACCTCTTTCCTCTCTGCATCGGCCTGCATTCTTGCCTGGCTCACAGCGGCCTCCCGGCAGGAGCTGGCCTGCTTAGCCTGTTCAAACAGCGCCTTCAGCTGCTGGGCTGTGTTAAGCAAGGAGTTGACCATCTCTTCCAGGTACAGCCAGCTCCGCTGCTCTGACATCTCCAGCCCACTGACCACCGTGGGGGAGACAGCTTTGGTGGGGGTAGAAGGTGGCACCGCGAGGGCTGGCAGGGATGTCAGGACTAGAATGCAGAACATGGGATAAACAAGAGGTTGGTGACTTCCAAACTTCATTACAGCCTCAGATGTAAGGATGGACAGGTGGTGAGGGGACAGAAAGGTGCCATCCTTACTCCTGGTTCACATCCCCACATCCCCAATGCTTTTAGCCAAAAGCCCTCCCTAAAGGCTGATCACATCCAACTTGAGAATTAGAGCTGAAGCTCACAGACAAGAGTGAAACTGCAAGCAAGACACCCACCCAGGGCAAGGGTGGCCACAGAACATGGAAGGACTCAGCCACAGGACAAGCACAGTGGGGATAGGGTACCCAGAGACTCAGCCAGTGCCACACACAGGAGAACCAAGGCTCACCTGGAAAGTCTTCCCGGGGTCTGCGGTCAACACGGGGGTTACTAAGGACAGTGGGAGTCGTGATTCTCACAGCTGGAGAAGAAAGCCACCAAGATAGACAGAGGGGACCAGAACACACTGTGATTTTAGACTGACTAGACACTGCAAACTCCCCTGTAGGCAGGTCTAGAATAAAGACATGTTTATACAGCTGCACAGTGCTTCCTGCTTTAGTCCACTGAGAGACCAGGGGCAGACACACCCAAGACAGTGAACACTCCACATGCCAGGTGTTACTGCTAGCCTCCAGCCCTCTGTGTGGGGTAACGACTGCTCTTCTTTCCAATTCCTATTGTGGACTCTCCGAACACGAAGTGGATAAGACGCATCACAAAAGCCAGCACTCAGCAGCTCCAGCCCACTGTAACCTGGGCCAGATGCACCACTGGCTACTGAAGTTAGGGAAATGTGCAACTTGAATGGGGGCTGGAGAAGTGGCTTAGTGAGTAAAGCATTTGCTGTGCAAGCATGAGGACCTACGCTTGAATCCAAAGGACTCAGGTAAAACCCAGATATTACATCTGTAATCCCAGCATGCCTACAGGGAGAGGGAATGTGGAGACACAAGACTCCCCAAGCCAGTTAGCCTGGCTTACATAAAGGCAGAACAAGAGACCCACTCTCAAATAACATGAAGGCTAAGGACTGATACCCGAGATTAGTCTCTGACTTACATACCTGTCATGGTATACCATAGCATCATGTGCTCCCACTCACAGAAATGTAAGAACATATACATACAAACACATGCAGATACACACACACACACGCAAAAAAAAAAAAAAAAAACCTAAGAAAAGAAAATTTGGGATGAGCCAGGCATGGTGACATATGCCTTTAATCCCAGCACTCAGGAGGCAGAGGCTGGTGGATCTCCATGAGATCAAGGCCAACCTGGTCTACATAGCAACTTCCAGGCCTGCTACAGGGAGACCCTGTCACAAAACAAAACAAAAATTGGGATGAACCTCATGTGTCTGGTTGACCAGAAAGTAAAGGCCATGCAGCAAGGGGCAGGTCAACACAGAGGCTCTACAAGACTCCTGCCAGTCCAAGGCTCAGACTATGTGAGCGAAAATCATGACAGTGGCAGTTATGACCCCCTGACTACAGCAGGAAGCCCTGGGTGCTGTGAGGAAGTACTGTAGATCATTGTGGCCTCAGTGACCTCCCAGGAGATAAACATCTCCACCCAGGGTCAAAGTTGTCCTCAGCAGGGTAGAGACAAAAGTGCAAGTGTCACAGGTCCCCAGCAGCCCCATCCCAGGTCTGCACCATCACTGACAGAGACACAACCCATGCCCCAGGAGCCAAGCTCACAGTACCAGGGGGAGGGACATTCTACATGACAGCTCTTGGTAACCTCCAATAGGCCTAGAAGGCCCAAGTGTAAAGGGGGCAAAAGCAGCAAGCACTGGCTCACTCTGCCAGTCACTGCAATGACTCATGGGAGAATGCAGTTAAGGCTTACTTAACTCCTGAGTCTCATACTATCCTTGTTTAGTAGAGAAAAAATACAATGAAGCATGCTGGGAGATAGCTGCAACTACTCTTAAGTAGTTTAGGAGGGAAAGTTTCTTATTGTACTTGCAACTTTTTGTACATGAGACATTTACAAAAAAAAAATGTTTCAAAGCCAGGTATGGTGGTGCACACCTTCAATCCCAGCACTTGGGAGGCAGAGGCAGGTGGATCTCTGTGAGTTCAAAGCCAGCCTGGGTCTACAAAGTGAGTTCCAGGTCAGCTGGAGCTACAGGGAGACCCTGTCTCAAAAATACGGCCCCCGAAAAAAAAGAAAAGAAAATTTATTTCAGTGCTACAGTGCTATTAAAACACCTTGTAGTCTCCTGCCAGTTCAGAGCCACGATGAGCAGCAAAAGACTCAGGCCTTTGGGCTAGCCCACTCAGCACAGTACAGGGACAGCCTGCAGCAGAGACACAGGAAGGGTGTTGAAAGTGGAGTTGGAAGAAGGTGGAGTCTGAGCGAGCCTTAAGGGTGGAAGAGTTCGGATTAGTGGAAGGGAAATAATGAAGCACTTGAGGAGTCTTTAAGTCTTATAGACAAACTTTTTCATGCTGAAGAAAATGACAAATTAAAAAAAAAAACAAACCACAAATGTCCATCAGCAGGCGAAGGTTCAGGCAATACTTTATTGATAATATATATCTGTAAAAAGTGTACCGAAAGCCCGGTAGCCTGCGCCTTTGATCCCAGCAATAGGGAGGCGGAGGTAGGCGAATCTCTATGATCAAGGCCAGTCTGGTCTATAAAGCAAGCTCTAGGCCAGCTGGGGCTATAGGGAGACCCTGTCTAAAAAAACCAAAAATAACCTCAAAAAAACCCAAAACAAATAAAAGTGTACGGGCACAGAAATCTGCCCAAAATGTATGGCTAAATGAAAATCCAAGTTAAAGTTCCCACACGAGAGGGTCGCTTAAGCTCTCAGCTGAGGACACACACGAACCATCCCTCATACCAGATACCACTCCCGCCACCTCCAAGTTTTTTCTGCAAAGAAGATCGTCTGTGCACACACATCACCTACTTTGGGCTTTGTGGGCGTGTCATTCTTTATGGAAGCAGCCTGGTGCTGAACAAAAGAAGCCATACACATAAGTGAACAGCATGCTGTGTTCAATAAAACTTTATTTTCAGGCCGTGTGTAATGGTGCATGTCTTTAATTCCAACACTTGGGACGCAGAGGCATGCAGATCTCTCATATACATAGTAAGTTCCAGGCCAGTCAGAGCTACATAGGGAGACTTTGCCTCAAAAAACAAAACAAAACAAAAAACCAACCAAACAAAATCCCTCCTTATTTACAAACACAAGCAGAAGGCTGTAATTTGCCAGTCCTGACCCAGCACTTCAAGAGAAAAACGCATCTGCACAAGCCTATTTCACTAGTTCTGGGGCTGGGGCATGGCTTGCTGGTAGAGTGCCTGCTTAGCATGTGAGACCCTGGGTCCATCCCCCACACTACAAAGAAGAAAGAACAAACAAGCAAAACCACAGTTCTGAGGACAACAGATTGCATGCACATGAATTCTTCTAAACTCACCTATTTTGGGATGTGATGTTGGCAATGCAGCTTCTGGAAACGGGGCAATCTGGCAGCTATCCTGATAGCCAGGGTAGTGGGGCTCAGGGTGGCTGACCCTGCAGGGGGGCTGCACACCCGCCTCTTGCACTGTTGGTGAGAGAGGGACAGAGGCGTCAGCACCTGGCTATTGGCACAGCAGATTTAACTCAAGGTGCTTACAGCTGCACACTCAATCCAGAGTGGCTACCAAGTGCCCAGATGATGGAATCTGAATTAATGACATGATGCGATTTGGATGGTCACTAAATAAAATTCACTACAAAAGTTCATTTCACTTATTTCATGTACTGGCTCTAAGAATATTTATAACTGCAAATGCCTGGGATTCTGTTCCTACCGGCTGGCCCGAGCCAAAGCACAGTGAGCAAATGCTAAGTATCTTTAGCTCTGTACATGGGTCACAAGAGATTAATTTCCCTAACTCCCACCTAGCTCAGTGCACGCTTACCTGACACCTATGTGGCTTCCACAAAAATACGGCCCTGCTGAAGGTCCCTGAGACCCAGCCAGCAGACAAGGTCCAACTTGGCAGTGTAAACGCCACAGAGGTTGGGGACCTGTTAGGCAGGTACCAAGTCAACTTACCTGTGGCTCCTGTGAACACATCACCTTGGGCTGGGCTCTCAGATATGACCGCAGTGGCCTCTACAGTGGACGCTCGGTCAAAGGTCAGTGCCCCAGAGGTAGTGATCTGTCCTGAGGGTGTCACAGTGACTGGAAAGACAGAAGGGCATTTTATTTTTATATTTATTTATTTATTTATTTATTTATTTATTATTTATTT